CACTCCCCCCATACCTGTGACTCTGTCTTGATCCAACTATCCCTTTCAATCACCAAGGAAAGCAGATTCCCTGGGACTGAATTATCTCCTATATTAACCCAGTTTCAGCTATTTTAAGAAGTCAGAAAGGATGAAAGAAAACTTAAATTTTCAAATAATTCAAATTATTTCATGAACTTCAATGGGATTTTACTCTATTAACATATGAAAGCTTCTGAATTAATGAAGTTTCATCTTAGTGCATATAATGTAGCTCTAGCTTTCTGTACAGCTCAGGAAATCACAGGAAGCAGAATTAATGAATGTCAAAGCTTACCTGTGAAAAGAAAAAAAACTAAAGATATATCATCGTGATATATATTTATATATATGAATCCTTTCACTTTTTCTGGAAAAATCATTCAAACATGAAAGTAAGGCAAAAAGTTGAGTGTATGACCACTTACTATCAGGGCAGAGAGTTTACTAATAACCTTACCTAAGTCATTTGAGTCAATGACAATAATTAACATTAACCAACAGCTTATGAGGGAGATTATTTTACATGCTACAAATTTAAGAGGTTATTTATACAGATATGGTAATAAGGAGTTTTTTTTTCTTTCTGTACACCCACCTGGTTTTTACCTAAACTATCAACGTTTTTATTACATCCCTTTCCCCACCAATCTTTAAGTGCTTTTGAACTAGCGCCATCATTCTGCTGGATCTCTGAATGAGTTAAATAAAACATTGACAGGTGTTCAACAGCAAGTTGTATAAAACTTAAGGTGTTGGTCTGGGCTCAGTGTTAAACCTCTGTAGTCCCAGTTACTCAGGAAACTGAGGCATGAGGATTCCTTGAGCCCAGGAGTTCAAGACAAGCTTGGGCAACATAGTGAAACAATGTCGCAGAAAATTATGGTTTGTAACAATTTGAGACTTGTACCTAAAAGCCTCTTATTACACAAGTTCTTCCAACCATGATTGCCTTAGAATCCAAGGTCCCAAGTCACTAAACTACTCAAATGCCACATTGCCCCCTCTGTGTCTAAATTTCCCATACTAAAATTTTTGTGCATGTGTGTCACAAAATTTGTGTGATTTCTTCTTGATTATGGGCTACAGTTCAATTTTGGCCTCAACCACCAAAAAAAGTTAATTCTATTTTCTCATGTCTTTTATATGCATCTCTTTTCCATTGGTCTGGTCTTTGTTTCCCTTTCCTTTGATATTCACTTCAGAGTGTGGTTTCCTAGTGTGAAAGTGTAAGAGTTTGCCAAAAAGGAAGTGAAGGAAATAAAACAAGAATCATAACTCAAGTACTGAGACTGCAAAGTAATTGCTATGGAGGGAATGTTTATATTTTCCCCTCCTCCAAATTCATATATTAGAGCCCTACTGCCCAAAGTGATGGTATTTGGACGTGTGGCCTTTGGGAGGTAATTCTCTGTAGATGAGGTCACAAGGATGTAGCCCCTGGAATCAGATTAGTGCCCTTAAAAGAAGAGGGAGAGACCACAGCTCTCTTTCCATCATGTACAGGGCACAGCAAGGAGGTGGCCTACAAACCAAGATAAGAGTTCTCATTTTGTACTAAACTCTGAGAAATGAATGTTTGTTATTTAAGACATCTAGTCTATGCTATTTTGATACAAGCTGAGCTAATAATGTTAAAGAAACTCCTTTCCCTTACAAATACCATTTCTTCTGTCCCTAGATGGAATCTTGTGAAGGTGGTCGTGATTGATTCTTGCAAACTATTAACCCTCCCCAAGCTATTTGTAACATGGAGGACTTGGATGACAGAACTAGTATAGATCAAGAGACAATTCCCCCAACAGAGTCATTTTAGCTAAAGGAAGAAGACTTCAATGGCATTTTGCTGACATGGCACAGTTCCCTGGCCATTTACCTACCTCCACAGCCCAGTGGACACAGATCATAGGAAGTATGCCAAACCTACTCAGCAGTGTAAACTTTTCAAACTGCTACATCAGTATATGCTTAAAACCAAATAGTGAACACGCTTAACCCATCATCCTTTGTATCCACCTGGAAAAGCAGTCTGGCAGTACTTTGAATTATGCTGGTTCCATTTGCTTTAAGAATCCCATGAATAATTTAAGCATCATTTTATTAAGCAATCCAAGTTTTTCCAGTAACATCAAGGATTAGAACTATTACTTGCTAAACTACAGATTAACAACAGTTTCACTATTTGGAAAAACAAAAATATAACCAAAATATATAATCAGATAATGTGCCACAGGCTCCCCATACAACCCTGCACAAATCCCAATACATGAATGGTCCTGTGGATTGAATGTTTTTCTTCCCTAACAATTTTATGTTGAAATTTAATTCTCAGTGCAAGAATTTTAGGAGGTGTGGTCTTTTGGAAGGTGTTTTAGGTCATGAGGGTTCTGACCTCATAAATGGATTAACAAGGCTGGTGGACAAGATGTCCCAGCACTGACGAATGGATTAAGAAAATGTGGTATCTATACACAATGGAATTTTATGCAGCCATGAAGAAGAACGAAATGTTATCATTCGCTGGTAAATGGATGGAATTGGAGAACATCATTCTGAGTGAGGTTAGCCTGGCTCAAAAGACCAAAAATTGTATGTTCTCCCTCATATGTGGACATTAGATCAAGGGCAAACACAACAAGGGGATTGGACTATGAGCACATGATAAAAGCGAGAGCACACAAGGGAGGGGTGAGGATAGGTAAGACACCTAAAAAACTAGCTAGCATTTGTTGCCCTTAACGCAGAGAAACTAAAGCAGATACCTTAAAGCAACTGAGGCCAATAGGAAAAGGGGACCAGGAACTAGAGAAAAGGTTAGATCAAAAAGAATTAACCTAGAGGTAACACCCACACACAGGAATCAATGTGAGTCAATGCCCTGTATAGCTATCCGTATCTCAACCAGCAAAACCCTTGTTCCTTCCTATTATTGCTTATACTCTCTCTACAACAAAATTAGAGATAAGGGCAAAATAGTTTCTGCTGGGTATTGAGGGGGGAGCGGGAGGGGTGGAGTGGGTGGTAAGGGAGGGGGTGGGGGCAGGGGAGAAATGAACCAAGCCTTGTATGCACATATGAATAATAAAAGAAAAATGAAAAAAAAAAAAAAAAACAAGGCTGGTGGAGTGGTTCAAGTGGTACAGTACACCGCCTGCCCAGCAAGTGTGAGGCCCTGAGTTCAAATCCCAATACTGCCAAAAATAAATAAATAAAAAGGGCTTGCAGGAGTAGGTTCTCTTTCTGTTCTTGTCATGTGGCAACATAATGGCTGTCCCCTCTTGCCTTTCTGTCTTCCAAAATGGGAGGACTCAGCAAGAAGGCCTTGAACAGATTCGATTGCCTTGGTCTGTTTTCCCAGCCTTCAGAACTATGAGCATAAATTACTGTTTTTATAAATTATGCAGTCTATAGTATGCTGTTGTATAGCACAAAATATTTACAAAAATGGCAAAAGCTTACCTATTCAAATGAAGAGGAAAACAGTAAACAAGAAAACACTGGTATGATTCATTCCTGTATCCCATGTTCTGGAAATCTCCAACAGTTATAAATTGAACAAAAATCAATTGCACCTATTAACATCACACCAGAACACTGGACTATGAGCTCACCTGCATATTATCTGAGTCAGGATATTTAAATTTGTTGACCAAAAATTGCTGAGAATGCAGGCAAACAGTGCTATAAATGTAAGGAATTAATTAAACTCCAGTTAAGTCAGAGAGTGATTTTTTTTTCTGCCCAATACAGAAGTTCATTATATAGTTTTAGGGTCCTGCAGGTTATCAACTCAGTTTGTGCCTAAATTAACCTGAATTTTCCCCATCACCTACATAATCAAGCTTTCTATAAAGCTATATCATCCTCATTCTGTTAATTCTCTGAGCTGTGGGATAAATAACTGTAACAGATACTCACCAACAATCTGTGTGGTATTCATAGTTTATACCAATTAGGCAGTTGTGCTTTCAAAGTCTGTTTTGGAAATGAGGAAACCTTTTCAAGAAGTTTCCTGGGTCACTTCTCACATTACCTTAGCCTAATAATAATAATAATAATAATAATAATGCAAAGATCATTTCCTAAGAGGCTTGAAACAATCTTAGTTTCCAGCATTCACCATCTGAGAGTGAATGGTCACCACTGTGTCCCCATCCCCAAGACATCAAAATATTTCATCTGAGATGTTAACATCAGCTACTGAATGGCAAAAGATGAAGCTCACAATCAAGTATTTGCAGAACTAGGGAGGGGAAGGTGTCCACTAAGACTCAATTTCTTTTTAAATAGTATCAGACATTTATTAAAAGTAAGGAAAAGACTTTTGTACAGATAGTGAAGAAGAACTAGTAAGAATACAGGGGTTACTGTGTTGAACAAAAGGCACACACATCAGACAGACAGCTGCAAATTCAGAAGAAAACTGGATTGTGGGGAAAAGTAAGTGGTCCACAGGAGAACATGAGAGACTGGATTTGGCTGCCAGGAACACGACAGGTGTCTGGGAGGGGAGAGGGCATGGGTCCCGCTGAAGGTGGAAGGCCAGCTGCCTGAATGCATGTCCACGGGCAGTGGGTGGCCAGCTCAGGTACCTCCGAGGTGAGTCTGGATCCCGAAGAGCAGCCTCTGGCGGTGCACGGTGGGTGCGGTGGATGGTGATGGCAGCACAGCGCAGGTGTGTGGGCAGACTGATGCAGGCTGGTGGCATGGCAGGGGCGGCTGACAGCGGCCGGCCGTGGGTGGTGTGTCCAGTGTGTAACGCGAGCCCAGCTTGCAGCTGGGGCCCAGGACAGCGTCCAAGTGTGCACGGGAGGGGCCGGGCTGGCAGCACAGGGCGGCGGCGACGCGCTCCAGAGCGAGGCCCGGCGGCCGCAGCAGCGGGAGCCTGGAGCGCTATTCCTGGAACAAAGGCAAGCACTACGCGGGCGGGAGGGGAAGCAGCGCGCAGGGACATTGCAGCGGCCACGCGAAGGGGGAGGGCGCGGCGGGAGGCCGCCTATGGCCACCCTGGCGGTGGCGGTGGCGGTGGCGGCGACAGGCGCAGCCCACCCTCCCCGGAGCACCCGCCGCAGGCCAGGGGCTCTCGCGGCCTAGAAGTCCTCGTCCTCCTCCCATCCAAAGACCCGCTTCATCTCGGCCAGGAAGCCCCGGTAATCACTGAGCAGGGGGCTGTCCTTCTCGATGTAGGGGATCACCCACTGCAGGGCCGGGCCCGTGAGGCGGGTGATGAGGAACGTCACCTTCAGGGCGTCGGTGGAGAACGTCTTGTCGTCCACGAACATGTAGGAGCCGGTCTGCACGATGAACTCCGGGAGCCGGTCGGTGTCGCCGTCAAACGTCTCGGGAAAGGGAATCGGGTTCCTCCAGCGACGCCCCAAGTGCCGGATGGGCCAGGCCATGAAGGCCTTCATCAGCTGCACCCGGCCGTCCATGGCGCTGTGCTTGGCCCGCTAGGCTTAGCTGGGTTTGTGGGCAGGGTGGATGTCAGCACCAAGGCGTCGCCGGAAGTGCGTGGTTGTGGAGGCGGGTCCAGGTCCGGGTGTGTGTGTGGGGAGAGGGAGTGACGTGAGGGCGGGGCCTGGATATCGCTTCTGGGCATGCGCAGATACCGCCCACTGAATTATGTTGTGGCCAGTACTTAGGAGCATCATGGGCAAGAACAGAGCTATAGGTGTGCAGGAAAGCTGACCTGAGGCTCTCCAGAAAGCAAGCTTGGAATCCGAGGGGCGGTGCGGCTGGTGTGAAGGATGTTTGTGATGAGGTCATAGCTGGTTCTGTGTGTTTAGCAGAGCATGGTAGTGTTCTGCAGTTGAAGAGTTAGCCTAGTTGTATGTATTCCCTTTGTCGTGCTATCTGCTCTTCAACATTCCTTGGAAGACGCTTGTCCCTTGACACTTTGGAAGAACTGAGCAATCATTTTGTCATAGGTCCCTTCACATGCGTTAATCTGATGCTGTCTCATGATTAAAATTTGTAATTTTTGCTAGCTACACCATAGAAAATATGTCTCAATGTATCACAAGAAGGTGTTCTTGGTGTCAATATAGTTTATTATTGATGATGTGTTTGTCAATCACTTGTTTGCCTAACTGCTTTGAACACAGTTTCGTCTTTGGATTATACATCCTGAGGAGTTGGATAGCAGTCACTTCTGCCTGCATCCATACAGCCTATTCAGCAAAAGTTTCCTTCCAGGGCAACTAAAGGCTATATATATTTCTTGCCCCCAAAATCCCAAGAAGTCCTCAATGTATCCTTTCATCTATTTTTATCGATTTTTTTATGAGACAGGTCTCCCTGTGTAGAAGGCCACTATGTACTCGTAATTGCCCTGCCTCAACCTCCTGAGTGCTGGGATTACAGGCTTGAGTCACTAGGCTTGGCTATTTTTACCTATTTTTTAATGGTAGGGACTAAAAAGTAGGAACTCATGCATTTTCTGTTCCTATTGAGATGGTCATAGGGATTTTCTCTTTGTATTAGTCTTCTATTTGTCTTAACAAATTATGGCAAATTTAGTGATTTAAAACAACACAAATAATCCAGATTCAGAAAGACAAGTATCACGTGTTTTCTCACATATTTGTAACTTAGAAAAAAAAAGACATGAATGAAAAAGGGGACTACTAGGGATATGAAAGGGAAAAGGTGGAGGGGAGATAAGAAAGGGTCATACGGGAGGTGAATATTATCAAAATACTTTGTATGCATGTGTGAAAAATTGCAACAAAGCCCATTATTTTTTTCCTTTTTCTTTTATTATTCATATGTGCATACAAGGCTTGGTTCATTTCTCCCCCCTGCCCCCACCCCCTCCCTTACCACCCACTCCACCCCCTCCCGCTCCCCCTATTTTATATAATGAATACATGCTAATTTCCAAAAGTAAAACAATACAAATTTGTCATATTACCCTTCTGTAGTTCAGAAGTTTAGTATGTATCTTAGCCAAGCAAAAGTCACAGTTTTGGGAAGCGATGTTCCTTTCTAAAGACTTCACAGGATAATTTTTCCTGTTTATTCTGGCTATTGTCAGAATTCAGTTCATTGTGGTTGTAAATCCAAGGTACCATTTTCTTGCTGTGTAAATGAGGACCATTCCCTGGAAATATTATGGTCCCCTTCCTCCATCTTCAAAGTCAACAATAGTGGGTCAAGACTTTCTCAAATGACATCTGACCTACTCTGTCTCCTTCCACTTTTACGAGTTCATGTAATTAGATAATCTCCTTATTTGATGTTCACCTTATTAGCAACTTTAGTTCTATCAGCAACATTAATTCCCTCTTGCTTTACATTTTCAGGTTCTGGGTGGTATCACACAGACGTCTTTGGAGGATGGCTATTCTGTCTACTACATTTTTCTTTTTGGTTAGTATGCTTAATTATGATTAATTTTTTTGGTGGTACTGGGGTTTGAACTCAGCGTCTTGTACTTGGTCAAGTACACTACCACTTGAGCCATGTTCTAGCCCTTTTCACCCTAGTTATTTTTCAGATAGGGTCAGATAGGGTTTCTCGGTTTTTACCCAGGGCCAATCTTGGACCTTGATCCTCCTACCTTTGCCTCTTGAGTAACTGGGATTACAGGCATGTTTCACCATGCCTGGTTTGTTCTTTGAATAAGACCTTTCTAACTTTGTGCATGGACTGCTTCAAATTTCAGTTCTTCTCTCTCTGCCTTGCAAGTGGCTGGGATTATAGATGTGAGACACCATGCCCCACTCTATGATTGATTTTTTGATTGACGAAACCAACAAGTGCCGGGTTTGGTGGTGCACACCTATAATCCCAATACTTGGGAGGACTGAGAATTCCAGACCAGCTTGTGCTACATAATGAGACCCTGTCTCAGAAAACCAATGGTTGGGAATGTAGCTTAGAGGTAGAGCACCTGCCTAACATGCTCAAGTTACAGCACCACAAATTCAAAAACACAGCATTGCATTTCTCAGGTAAGGTTCAGCCAATCACGACATCCTATCCTTTAAATACATTACTAGATTAGGCAAATGGATAAATAAATTATGCATATTTATGTGATGAAAATCTATGATATGACAGTGATATGGATGAGTGCTACAGATAACAATTGAGTGCAAGATGTGACACACAAAATAGTATACACTTCATGATTCCCCTTTCTATCATTGTCAAGAATAGGCAAAACTAAATGCTTACAGAATTCAAAATAGTGGTTATCTCAGGGGGAATATTATATCCTGTAAAGTTGCATGAAGGAATCTTAGAAGATGCTAAAAACGTTTTCCCAAAGTGACTATAACATTTTTATTCCCACCAGCAGTATATGAGAGGTTAAATTGCTCCACAATGTCAATGTCAGTATTGTCAGGTTTTGTTTTGCTCTGGATTTTTTTAACCATACTAATAGGTATGAAGTTGTAATTCCTTGTAGTTTTAATTTGTGATTCCCTCATTATTAATGATGATGGATATCTTCTTTGTGCTTATTTGACACACATTTATCTTTTTTGGCCAACTATCTGTTCAAATGGTTTCCCCATTTTAAATCACTTGGTTTAATTTTTATTGTTGAGTTTTGAGAGTTCTATTGGATCTTTTATTCAAATGTTCATTAAATATGTGATTTACCAATATTTTCACCATACTTCTGCCTGTGTTTTCATTGTCTTAACAGTGTATTTTGAAGTGCATGAGCGTTTTAATTTGATCGAGTGCAATTTGCCTAATTTTACTTTTTTATTATTATTTTGGTGTCATAGTTAAAAAGTCTTTGCCTAATCCCAATTTTCCCCTGTATTCTTCTAGGAGTTTTATGATTTTAGGCTTTACCACTAGGTCTTATCTATTTTGAGATAATCTTTGTGCATGCTGTGAACTATGGATGGAAATTTAGGTTTTTGTAAATAGATACTCAGTTGTTGTTGTATCACTGTTGAATGCATTATTGAATTCTTTCTTCACTGAATCGCCTTGAAAACTGTGTCTAAAATCAGCTATCCATATCTGTGTGGCTCTATTTTTGGATTACATATTCAGTCTCCTTCATCTGTTTATCTTAATAACAACACCACATGTAGGGGCCTCAAGTTCAAATCCCAGTACCACTAAAAAACAAAACAAAACCTACATGGCCTTAATTACTGTAGCTTTAGCATAAATCTTGAAATAGTATTAGTTTTCAAATTTATTTTTTCTCTTTTAAAGTTGTTTTCACTATCATATATCCTTTACATTTCCATAAGCTATGCTTTATATATTAAAAATTTGCAAGGCCTTTGACTGAATCTGATATTCAATTTTGGGAGAATTGCTATCTCAGTAATATTGAATCTTCCAACCTAATTATTTTGTTTTTCCTTATTGCACTGTCTAGAACCTCTAAATTAGTGTTGGAATAAGGTGGTGTGGTGAGAGTGTGCATATTTGTCTTCTTCATATAAGAGTGGAAAACACTTTATCTTTCATCTTGAAGGATGATATTAACTATAGGGCTTTTTTTTGTAGACATCATTAATCAGATTTAGGAGCTACCTTCTATTCGTAGTTTGTTGGGACACAGAAATGCCTTGTTAGCCTAGAGAAATTATTTGCTCACACAAAAAACTGTACATAAATAGTTGATTTATTTGTAATTGCCAAAATTGGAAACAGGCCAGATGTCCTTACAAGTGAATGGACCACCAAACAGTCCTATATCCACGCCATGGCAGACTGACTCTAAGGAGACCTATGTCATTCCAAGAGAGGGTCATGTCTTTGAGTGTGGATGGGGACTGTGACCTGTTTCTAACCGATAGACTATGGCAAAAGTGATGAGATGACCCACTCGTGGTTATGTTATATAGTATATGACTCCACCTTGCAAGCAGAATCACACTTTTCTGCTAGCTATGAAGGAGTATGCTGTGGGGTCAGAAACTGCCTGTGCACAGGGCAACGTGGTCCAGAACTGCAGGGCAGCTTTTATAATAAATTAAGGGATTTCTTAACATTCAACATTTTTTTATATTAACAACTCCTGGCGCATTACTTTTTGAGTATGCTGTTCTGTTTCCAAATTTTGGGGCTTTCTTATTAATACTGGAAACAGACAGATTTGCGGGCAGGGAGCCAATATTTGGCCGAGAGATGCATGAAGGAAAACGTGCGCACAACATCTCATTCAACCGGCGGCCATGGCTGAGAGTCCGCGAAGGAACATATAAGAGGCAAGACAAGTGACCGAGAGGAGTGTGGCGGAAGGACTCAGAAAAGGCGGAAGGACTCAGAAAACTGGAGAACGTGGACCTCCTACTCTACAGGGAAAGCAGGCTCAGCTTTCACCCTAGGATGCCAACTGTCTTCCACTCCTCCCCCATTCTCCTTGGTGTTCCCTTTGGAGAGCCTTTAGCCCCGCCCCTCCGTTTCTGGCCCCGCCTCCTCAGGAGTGTTAGGCCCGCCCTCAGCGCCCTTTCCCTCCCAGCTACTGCTAGTGGCGCATCTGCGCATGAGCGACTACCAGCCTTGCAGACATAGCCTGTGAAAGTGCCAGAGTCCCGCCCTGGCTCCGCCCACCCACAGCACGGCCCGCCTCCGCGGACACGTAACTCTGGGGGACACCTGAGTGGCTGACCTCTACGCAGTCTAGCAGAGCCCACACAAGCCCAGCGGAGCGAGCACTGACAATGGAAGATTGGGTGCAGCTGATGAAGGCCTTCATGGCCTGGCCCATCCGGCCCTCGGCGCGTCGCTGGAGGAACCCGATTCCCTTTCCCGAGACGTTTGACGGCGACACCGACCGGCTCCCGGAGTTCATCGTGCAGACCGGCTCCTACATGTTCGTGGACGACAAGACGTTCTCCACCGACGCCCTGAAGGTGACGTTCCTCATCACCCGCCTCACGGGCCCGGCCCTGCAGTGGGTGATCCCCTACATCGAGAAGGACAGCCCCCTGCTCAGTGATTACCGGGGCTTCCTGGCCGAGATGAAGCGGGTCTTTGGATGGGAGGAGGACGAGGACTTCTAGGCCGCGAGAGCCCCTGGCCTGCGGCGGGTGCTCCGGGGAGGGTGGGCTGCGCCTGTCGCCGCCACCGCCACCGCCACCGCCAGGGTGGCCATAGGCGGCCTCCCGCCGCGCCCCTCCCCCTTCGCGTGGCCGCTGCAATGTCCCCTGCGCGCTGCTGTCCCCTCCCGCCCGCGTAGTGCTTGCCTTTGTTCCAGGAATAGCGCTCCAGGCTCCCGCTGCTGCGGCCGCCGGGCCTCGCTCTGGAGCGCGTCGCCGCCCCTGTGCTGCCAGCCCGGCCCCTCCCGTGCACACTTGGACGCTGTCCTGGGCCCCAGCTGCAAGCTGGGCTCGCGTTACACACTGGACACACCACCCACGGCCGGCCGCTGTCAGCCGCCCCTGTCATGCCACCAGCCTGCATCAGTCTGCCCACACACCTGCGCTGTGCTGCCATCACCATCCACCGCACCCACCGTGCACCGCCAGAGGCTGCTCTTCGGGATCCAGACTCACCTCGGAGGTACTGAGCTGGCCACCCACTGCCCGTGGACATGCATTCAGGCAGCTGGCCTTCCACCTTCAGCGGGACCCATGCCCTCTCCCCTCCCAGACACCTGTCGTGTTCCTGGCAGCCAAATCCAGTCTCTCATGTTCTCCTGTGGACCACTTACTTTTCCCCACAATCCAGTTTTCTTCTGAATTTGCAGCTGTCTGTCTGATGTGTGTGCCTTTTGTTCGACACTGCATTACAACCTTGCACTCTTTCCGGTTTACACTATCTGTACAAAAATGTTTTCCTTGCTTTCAATAAATGTCAGACACTATTTAAGAAGAAATTGAGTCTCAATGGATATGACACCCTTCTCTTCCTTGTCCTAAATGGGGTCCATATCTCATTCAAGAGGGGTATGTCCTGCCATTTCAGTGGCTGATGTTGACTATTTTGTTCAACAGAAGATTGAGTCCTGTGGTGGTCCTGGGGGTGCAGACCTTATTGGAAGCTATTTCATCCCAGATGATCAATCTTCTATAACCAGTTAATTCCATATGCCTTAGGAAATGAATCTTGATCCGATTTTAACCAAGATAAGATGAAGAGATGGGGAATTTTTTAATTAGGGTATATTCATTGTACAGGGGGGATTCATTGTGACAGTTCCAAATAGGCTTACATTGTACATTAGTTAGATCGCCCCACCATCTCTCCCCTTCCACCCCCTCCCTGCCCCACTTAAAACAATTGCAAGAGATTTCATTACTCAATTTTGTACATAAATAAGAAGTCCATTAACCATATTTCCTAACATTTATCTCCTTCATTCCTTCTCCCCCTCCTGCTAAGTACCCCCCTCACACACTGGACCTATTTTATGCAGTCCTGTCTTTCATTATTAATTCCTAAGTCAATGTTCAAAGGGGTTTCTCAATGTATTCCAACTGTGTGTATAGTTTACTTTGGTCACTTCAACCCCTTCAATTACTCTCCCTGACCCCTTCCCTCTGACCCCCATTATTCAACAGCTTTCAATACACATCCTTATATCCTTTACCTGCACAGATGAAAGTATTTTGATATGGTTGATTCTATCATTCTCTTTTCCTTCCCTCCTCCCTCAAGTTCTGTAGAGTAGTTCCACAATTACAAGCATGTTCCAAATATAAGTTTCAAAAGCAGCTTGAAAGCATAAATTCCACACATTTGTTGAACACCAATCAAATTTTATTTAACCAGAGGCTTATGAAGGAACCATCAGAGTTTGCACACATGGTTGAAAATGCATATGAAAGTAATGGGGAATATGGAGGTAATAGGGAAGGGAATGTAGAACTGTGATTATTAATTTGGGCACATATGTAGTTGATGACCTGAGGACAAAATTTTACGTTTTCCTTCATGGGCAGAATAAAGGCCATTACTTCTTACTGTTTCTCTGTAGGTTAACTTATGTATACAGTGCTATAAAAGCCAGTATTCATTAACTATATCTAGTCAAGTTTAAATATCTCAATAATGTCAAATGATCCTCAGATGCTTTAAGAGTTCACTGTGTCCTGATGTTTAAAAGGCCATACATCCTGCTGGGCATAGTAGCAGGCATATTAGTATATACCTGTGAACCCAACACTAGGGAGGCTGAGACAGGAGGATAGGAGTTCAAGGCTAACCTGGATACACAGTGAGTCTGAAGCCAGTATGGTCTATATATCAAGACCCCATCTAAAAAAATAGATAAATAGGTCACACATCCAACTCTGCCTTACTTCTAAGTTGGGTGATTTTTCCAGAACATGAGAAGTAATAAGAGGCTGAGCTTAGCTCACAGATGGAGTGACTTGATATGTGGATGGAAAGCAGAAACAGACTGTGAATGCACTATGAAGAGGACTAATGTTTACATGCCCAGTCTTTAGACTTCTCTGGCCTCTTTAGGGAGGTGAGATACTTCCTTGGCTTTCAACTTTACCTTAATTGTTGACCTTAACCTTTAATTATTTCTGTGAAGTTCATCAATAGCCTCTGGTAAGCAACCATTCAATTATAAAATCTTTATAATTACTGTTTTCTTGGAACCTCTCAAACTTTCAAGATACAGCACCAGCCAGTAAATTTCTTTCCATTGATATTCTATCTCAGTTAACCACTGGTAAAAATTTTAGCAATTGCACCACTACTTCATCACAGGGGTTTTTAGTACTTCTTTTACCACTAGTGATGTAGTTCTCATTTCTAGCCAGCTGGTAGATAATCACACTCCAAAATTCTATGCCTTAATTTACTTCATATGACTACTCCTAGCTCTAAATACTAAACTTTAAGTTCCCTTGGGAACAGGTTCTCATGCACAACACTTGTAAGGAAAGCAGGATTGTGTAGAGGGAAAATTTGAGGAAACATTCAGTTGCAATGGAGGCCTCTCCTGATCCCATAGGGCATAGCTAAAACAGAGATGGCCATTCGAAATGTTCTGAATTGAGAGAAAGCCGGGCTTTTGTACCTCTACATTGATAATTACTGGACGTGGTTTTACCTGAAATAGATGATGGTAACCCTTCCTATTGCTAGCAATTTCTAGGGAGTGAATCAGCTGTGACTTTCAGTAGCCTACATACCCAGAAGCTGGGGGAATAAGTACCTAAGTACTAAAGATGGGATCTGGGTAGCACTTCATAGTATCCACTTCACCCATCAATAAGGGAATGGAATTAATACCATAGAATATATTTCAACAGCTAGAAAGAATACGATGAAAGTATGCTAGTTCCTTTGCAGAGATGTTTGTGAAGAAACACAATATACAAAAAGCTGCATAGTGTGGTTCATTTTTGTTAAATGCATATCACCCAAAAGGCCTACATATGAACACACACATAAGCTAATTATGAAGAAAAATCTAGAATACACACATTGAAGTGGGAAAGTTTGATGTGACAGTTGCACTCTATAGTCCAACTTGGAGAGGGGGAGGCAGATGATAAAGAAAAAAATAAAGAACACTCTGAAAGGTGGCGGGGAGGAGGGGATTAATGCATGGCCTTTTAAATTTTGGGATGCTAGGAATTGAACTCAAAGCTTCTTGCATGCCAAGCACAAGCTTTACCACTGAGCTACATTCCCAGCCTTGAAAACTGAAAAGTCTATAGACATTGTAAGAAGGATGTAGTATCAATCAAGGTCCAAACAAGAAAGAGATGGTATACATAAATGTGGTAACTGGAGAGAATTAAAGGAAGAGACTACATACAAGAGTGTGAGCAAGGTTAAGAGAAATTGTGATAGGTTGTGTAATTATTCTGCAATATTTACTCTGCAATCCCCTCACCCTTTGGGTTGGAGCGTTCTTCCCTACTCCAGAGACTCCAGGCTTGGTCACCACTCACTTTTGTCAATGGAACATAAATAGCCATAATGTGAAAAGAGGATTTAAATAGGCTAGTGTGGCTTTTTGCTTGTCTTCTAATCCTCCTGTGATTGCTAAAACAAGACTGTTCCCCTTGTAGTTGCTGATCCTTCAGCTTGGGCCCCACAATAATTCACACGGAGCAGATCTAAATCCAATCTGCATCCTAGAGCCAAGCCTACCTTAACTGCATCCTAAAGCAGAATAGCCCTAGACAGCTCATAGCACGTGAGCAAGGAGAATAAATGACTGTTGTAAATTAGGGGGAGATAACTTATACAACATTATTGCAGCAATAACAGTAACAAGGGGCCAGCAACAGCGGGGAGCTAAAACAGTAAGGGCAGGGAATGGTTGCTAGAACACAGACAGAGCTCTAGTTGTAATTGGTGCTTAAAAGTTGCTTTTGCTGAGAAGCACAGACTCCTTACTTGGGCCCATGAATTAACTAAAGGCAGGAAACAGATGATTATGATGCCTCTTTTGCATAGAAATGGAAAGAATAAATTGACAGTGGGGAAAATGTAACTGGGAATACAAAAGGGAAAAAAAAACCTTTGGGTTGTAGCCAACTTGTGTGCTGGCTAATTTACTCTGCTTGTTAGTCAAACTGACATTTCCCCCCTTTTGTCTACATGCTGAAGAGCTCAAGGTTAACATCTTTCACTCTTCAATTAAACCAGGCAGTCTTCTACCCCTTATCTCTCTCTCTCTCTGACCACCAGAGAAGTAAACCTGTCACCCAAGACATATGGCTTTAGAGATGTGGCACCAGAGCATCTGGAGAACCAAGTCTAGCACCTATTCAGGGACATGCATTTGGTCATGTACTCCAACTGAGCCCCTGATCTCCCCTTTAAAAAGGAGACATTTTCCCTCAGAAGTGGGACAATAGAGGTTTGAGAGGTACTCCTCATTGTGCAATGAATAATAAACCTTATTTTCTTTTCCTCAAAAATCCTGCTCTTGTCATTTGTGAACTGGCATTGAGGCCAGAGGACTGACCCCCTAGTAACATAGTTATAGAAGAGAATCCCAGCACAGGGCTTGCAGCCATTAATGGAGGAACTCAGTCACAGCCAACTCTCAGTTAGGTCAAGATGGAGCTCTCCCAGCTGCCAAACTCAACCACAAGCCAGAAAAGAAGGGAGCCATTTATGCAGCCTATAAAGGTCAGCCTCTGGGTACAGAGCAGGGTAAAAGGGAGTGGATTTAGAGGGACAAATGGAAGATATACCACAGATACATGGATAATCATTCCAAGTGAAGAACATTTGTAAAGATGTATAATCACATTTGCAATCAAGGACATTTTGAATAAAATGAAAACATATCTCATTTCAAAATGAACTAATGGCAGTATCATGTGGTGA